GACTCGGTCGCCTCAAAAACATTACTTGTTTGTTTTCATTTTCAGGCGACCGAGTCGGGCGATAGGCCCGATCCAGCCGTAATAGGCACCCCGTATTAGACGCTAGAGTTCTAGAAAAAGTTAAAGGTATGTTTGTGTGTGAGTGTGTGTATGGGTGTGTGTGTGTGTGTGTGTGTGTGTGTGTGTGTGTGTGTGTGTGTGTGTGTATGTGTGTGTGTGTTTTTGAGAGAGAATGGGGGTAGAGAGAGAGACAGAGAGAGAAGGAGAGGGATAGGCAGATAGAGAGAGGGAGAAAAAAAGAGGAATAGAGAGTGTGAGAGTATGTGTTTGTGTGTGTGAGAGAGAGAAAGAGAGAGAGATAAAGAGAGAGAGAGAGAGAGAGAGAGAGAGAGAGAGAGAGAGAGAGAGAGAGAGAAAGAGGAGGGAGGTGGGGGAGGCACCCACTGCTTTAAAAAGGATCTATGCACTATACCCCCCCCCCCCACCCACACACACACATAAAACAAATACAAATCAGTTCAAAACCTTTGTATCTCTTAGTACAAGAAATAAATAATCGATCGCTTTTGCCGTAAAGTATTTCTAAAAGCAATCAAATAACGACGCATCCCTTTACTGTAAAGAATCTCTAACAACAAAACAATAACAACACATCCCTTTACAGCAAAGAATCTCTAACAACAAAACAATATCAACAAATCCCTTTACAGGCAAAGAATCTCTAACAACAAGGACAAAAATAAGCAGCACAGTCCTTTACGGTAAAGTATCTTTAAGAACAGGGAAAAGGAGGGAAAAGGACAAAAGAAAACACGGGTCCCGTACTGTAAAATATCTTAAAGAACAAGTGACAAAACACAAAATGCCTTTCCCAAGTGTAAATTATCTCACAGAACAAGAAATGAACCATGGATATCTTTACCGTAAAGTATCTCAAAGAGCAAGAAATGAACCATGAATCCCTGTACCGTAAAGTATCTCAAAGAGCAAGCAATGAACCATGAATCTCTTTTCCGTAAAGTATCTCAAAGAACAAGAAATGATCCATGAATCCCTGTACCGTAAAATCTTTCATAGAATGAGGAATAATGCACTCACCGCCTTACCGTAAAGTATCTCACAGAACAAACAAACGCCCTTACCTTCTCTCGGGCAGCTTTTTTAGTTGTTTCGTCCATCCAGTCAAGGTCAGCCAGGTGGTCATTGAAAGCTTGTTGGATGTTCTTGATCATCTCCTCAGCCTGGTGATGATGATGATGGTTACCATTATTATTATTATTATTATTATTTATTATTGTTAATATTCTTCTTCTTCTTCTTCTTCTTCTTCTTCTTCTTCTTCTTCTTCTTCTTCTTCTTCTTCTTCTTTTTCTTCTTCTTCTTCTTCTTCTTCTTCTTCTTCTTCTTCTTCTTCTTCTTCTTCTTCTTCTTCTTCTTCTTCTTCTTCTTCTTCTTCTTCTTCTTCTTCTTCTTCTTCTTCTTCTTCTTCTTCTTCTTCTTCTTCTTCTTCTTCTTCTTCTTCTTCTTCTTATTATTATTATTATTATTATTATTATTAATCTACTATTAATAACCTTTACATTAATATTAATGGATATATATGATTTGACATACATAATATTTTATATCCATACCAACCACTTCTTGCCTTAGCCTTCAATTTTCTCTGGTCTTCCCGATTTGTTTTTATCGTACCTTTTGGCATTATGACGTAGATGCGCGCACTTTAGTTGCTATAGCTTGTAGTCATAAGATCTTACTTTATGTTTTGCATCGTGTTTCAGACGAAGCCCCTTTACCTGGTGAAACGTTGAACCTGTATTAAATTGTTTTAAAATCTACAAAGTCTCAACTCTTTTTTATTCCTTGCTACTTACAATGATGATGATGATGATGATGATGATGATGATGATGATGATGATGATGATGATGATGATGATGATGATGATGATGATCACTCAAGACAGAAAGAGAGAGGGGGACAGAGAGGGAGCGAGAGAGAGAGGGGAAGGGAGAGAGAGAGAAAAAAAAAAAAGAGA